GGACAGAGGAATCAATTTTGAGGAGGAAGAAAAATAGGAATTGCCCTAATTTGATGAAAAATGGGGTTAAAATGAATAGGTAGGTGAAATATATTTATTTTACCATGGGTTAGTCCGAAAAATGGGGCAGGTGGATATTTGGGACGGGTTGTAAGTGATTGGGGCCATATAGCCACATGTCGCAATAAAAATCGTGACAACGCATTAAATGAGGGGCCAAAAATGGCTCTGTTAGTCGTAGGGATAATATCAGGCCCCAAAATAACGTTGAACATATTTTTGGATAAATAAATGGACAGAGCTCGATACTAAACTATTTGTGATACTACATGGGCATTTTTAGTCCTTTTCCTTATTTTTTCGGATAAATAGTCGTAGGCATTTTTTCCTTAGTGAGCTAATTAAATGTGATCAACTTTTATTATTAAAAACTTACATTTTTTAAATTTTTTATTTTATTACTCAAACATATTTTTTTAATACTAATATTTATGTATTTTAAAAATGTACTTACTTGAAGTGCGTGCCAAAAGACTAAAACAAGTTTTGTGAAATTAAAATAATAAAAATTTAAAATTGGAATAAATTTTTAAGTTGATATATTGACGATGATGATTAATATATCACTTCTATGGAAGAGTTTCTTACTTTGTTGAGTTGACTAAATATGATAAACAATCATTATTTTAGGAATTTATATTTTTTTCTTTAACTTTTATTTTTTTAACACCAATATAATTTCATATAATATTTATGTTATTAAAAAAAATGATAGTTATCGAGATAGAGTATACACAGAACCCGTGTATCATGAGAGTAGTGTATTAACAAAATAGATATAAGGTCTAATTCGAATATTTGAAAACTAGTTCATGAGGAAATATTTAAAAACTATGATCTTAGTCATTGTTTGGACATAGATTTGGTTGAAACTTGAAAGATGAGTTTTTGAAGTCATGTTAAAAAAATTATTTTTGGAAGTTGAAGTAGTGTTTGGACATACATTTTATTTGGAAAAAAAACTTGAAGTTTTGTGGGTGTGAAAAAATTTCAGTCAAAAACTGCCCTAAAGGTAGTATTTGGGAACTTGAAAAAATATTAATCATGTTCCATGAACCTAAAGTATTTTCAAAATTTTTTTTAAAATAAAAAATAACAAAATTTATGGCCAAACGGGTTAATGTGAAAGTTAACACTATCTCACATACGCAGGATAATGGACAAAATCATTAACACGTGGATTCGACACTGAATATAGTGAGTGAAGTGTGAACTATACCTGTTAATCGGGCTGGGCTGACCCGTTTTCAACCTGTTTTGGCCCGATTCAGCCCGTTACTGTAGCATATTAGGGCGGGGTGGAACGGCTTGGACGGGGAGCGGGTTTTAGACGAACAAATTCTGGATACCGGTGCATCGAAACCTGCTAAGCCCGCTAACCCGTTAACGGGCTGCAGCCCGGTTCAGCCCGTTATCCTTATAATTTTTAATTTTTTTTTAATTTTGTGGACCATTGCCAACGGTCAAATTCAAAAATGACCGTTGGGCAACGGCCAGATTTTGCACAAATGACCATTTCGGCCTCCCCCATTAAGAAAATAGCCCTTCCATCCCTAATAATTGATAAATTACAATTAAGAAAATGGCCCGGTCCGGCCCGTTTAAGCCCGAACGTGTACGGGCCCAATAAAACCCGCAAAAACACAACCCGCTAACAGTCTGGAACGATAACCGTACGAGCTGATTTTTTTTATGTACAGCCCGTCCCAGCCCGCACGTTAAACACCTCTACTGTGAACTATCTAGCACCAGTAAAGAACACATAGCGTCAACTAATTTGGCTGTCTTGGACATAGAGATCGCTGCTGCATAACAAACTGTTGAAAAAGGCAAGTGCAAATATGAATGAACTAATNTATATATAACAAAGGTTTGATTATTGAATTTGCTAGAAACTCTAAGATATCAAATTAATTGCATATATCACTGCCCTTAATCAACTGATCATTAGACATATTCAAGTCCAACTTCCCTTTACTGCTTACCGATGGAGCCAGGTCTCATGATCTCTGACTCTGACTCTTCATTCATGCGCGCGCGCACCTTCTGTTAAAGAATACAACAACAACAACAACCCAGTATAATCCTACTTAGTGGGGTCTGGGGAGGGTAGTGTGTACGCAGACCTTACCCCTACCCTGAGGTAGAGAGGTTGTTTCCAAATAGACCTCCGGTATCCTTCCCTCCAAGAACTTCCCACCTTGCTCTTGGGGAGACTCGAACTCACAACCTCTTGGTTGGAAGTGGAGGTTGCTTATCATATAATACTTAATACGCTAATGCTCTGAAAACACGGTCATTATTATTTTTCCTTTTCTTTTTTGGCTGTAATAGACTAATAGTCTAAAAGATAATGTTTCCGCTACATATATATTTCGTGGAAATATTTGTAATGATGTTGCAATTCAACTCCTAAAGTTGTTAACTGAGTAAAATGCACCAAATTAAACATCAGGCCCCAGTCCAAGTCAAATCATCAACAATATGAAAAGAAAAGCAATACTTTATGAGTTAACAACCAAAATACTCCATTTAATTAATTTAATTAAATACAGTGGAGAGACCGGAGGGGCAGGGCAGGGTAGACTTTGACTATATTCCTGCCTTTTTTTTCCTACCACACCCTTGACACAAGTGATGGAAAAGGATAATATTGCATTTAATTCTTTTATTTTATTGATGAGCTAGCTTCTGTATTTTGATTTTCGACTCTCCGCCCTCGTCCTTTGACTTGAATTGGCATATTTATTTGCAGATTCTACTTCTTTTCTATTTGCACTCTATAAATTAGAAATACAAATGAGGCACCAAATTATACTCCTAAAACACCGAGTGGAAATGACACCACATAGCCATTTAAGTATGATGTTTAAAATATATTCACAGTTTACTATGTATTTAAAGATTAACTAATTTAGCTCAAACTTCATGACAGGGCGTCCTAGAGTTTAAACCTCAAAGCTCAAACTTTAGGACATCGTGTCCTAAAGTTCGAAAATTGTATCCAAAAGTTTGAATCTTATGTCCTAAATTATAAATTAGTAGTTCAGAAATTCAGGACAATTAGTCCCGAATTTCAAATTAGCAGCTCAAAAATTCAGGACACTAAGTTCTGAATTTCAAAATTCAAGATACTTAGTCACGATGTTTGGACAAATTGGCTAATCTTTAAATATATTGTAAATTGTAAATATATTTTAAAAAGTGGACTTAAAAGTGGCTATGGATGCACTTTGCCCGAGAACTGAAGTTCTGTACAGTCCTTATGAAATTCTTGTATGATTTTATTCAACAACGTATAAATTTAATTAAAAATGGAATTCCTTTTGACCAAACTTAAATGTATATGTTTGACCTGGCATGAAAATCAAAGAAGATTGCAAAACCGCGTTTGGTTCTGTACAATAGCAAACTACATTATGATTGTTCTTTTAGGAATAAGAAAAGGGAAAAGGTTTTGGGCAAATGTAGGAAAATTGGCCACATTGATCTTGTGTAATAAAATATGGGATAATGTTCTCTTTTTACAACTTAAACAATTACTATTGCTTTTTGGTGAAAGATTAACAAAAAAGGTAGACATCAATTTGGGTTAAAAAGATGAAAATTTAATTCGGACTCTTTTGCAATCTAGAGAATTATATATATTCAGATCTCTTTATAACATCATCCTTATATAATAATTATTTACTATAAAACTCACGTTTTTTTTAAGTTAATTTTTTATGTTATATCTTACCTTATATAATAGTTGTTTACCTATAAAAACAATATCCATCTTTATAAAAGTACGCTCTTTATAAAATTACCCCTCTATAAGAGCAATGTAGAATCTCTAGGATCACCAATAATATGTTAAAGATTTTAACCTCAACCTACTGCTACTTGAAGTGAGATAGAAGATTTAGTTGTTAAGCTCTTAGATTGCTTTCAAGGGAAAACGATTAAACAATATCCTTTTACTGAAAGTTTGTATATAAATAATTGCTAATTCAACATTATATCGCTAGTAATAAACTGAAATCTATGGAACAACCTACAATTACAAAGTTCTTCTATCAATCTTGAAAGAATTTAATCTTCTAGTAGCTTTAAAAAATGCGTCTTAAAGTTTAAATCTTTGTACATTTAATTATGAAATTTGTCAATACTGTATTAGCATTTTTTAATATTTAATTAGTGAAATATGCATATCTTTGAGTATTTAAATTTGATTAATTTTCTTATCTCTTATATGTAACCTTAAATGAAATAATTTTTGGATAATTTTTGTTTATAACAGGAAAAATGTACTTAAATATCAAATGATATTATAGGTGTATAATAGGTATTCACCGTAAAAATTAAAAATATCGAAAAAAGCGATATTATTATAAAGAGGTTTGACTAAAGATATTAACTAGTTTGCAGTATTGAATAGGGGTCTGAAATGAGTGTCATCTATTCCTTGGCATGCCACAGGGTTCTTAAACAGGCGAGCACCTGTAAGGCTACCAAAAGACCCAATTTTGGTTAGTTGGAGGACACATGTTTTTAAATGTTAAAATGGGATCCTACTTGGTTATGGAAGGGATTACAAAACTACTATATATTTTTAAGTAGCTAAATTTAACTAACTATAATAGTAAAGTAATTAAGCTATCTCTATTAACAATGCATTTTATCTGCTGAAATAATAATATTCTGTTGGAAATCAATCTCACCATGGGTGCTCACAAAGCAGAGAAGAAGAGAAGAAGAAAGGTTTGAAAGTCAAAGAAGAAAGAATGAGTTCGGACAAAACAAAATGGGCTAAGTCATGTGGTCTCAAATCTGAAGGGACAGATGAAAGCATCCTAGAGTCTAAAGCTTGTCATGATAGATTAAATCTGGGCCGTGTAAATAATAACATAAATCTGGAACCTTTTCACACATGTAAGAAGGTTCACACGCATGAGAGATAGGAAAGGAATATTAGTTGGTTATTTTGTTATAATTAGTCTAGTACAAACATAACAAATGTACAAATACTACAGGATTCTTTTATTTTCATTTTTCATTCTAGTTTTCTTTTACTAGGAACATACTTGTATATTGCTTGTACAGAAAGAATTCAATCAGAAATACAGAAAAAATTTCACATTTTCTCTTCTTTGTTTCATGGTATCAGAGCAGTAGCTCGATCCAAGTGGGTCTTCAACGGGAAATGGACCCAATTTCGATCCAAATTACCTTTACTTCCTTCACTCCTCAGACGCACCTGGCATGAGCTTGGTGAATGCTATCTTTGGTGGAAGAGTCTATCATGGCTAAAAGAGATCTGTCTTGATAGCTCTTGCAGCAAAGAACAAGTTGCGCGTTATAAATGGGAATTGTCCAGGTCCAGCTCCAATTTTCACAGATTTTCAATCATGGAGTAGACGCAATGATATAGTTATATCCTGGATGCTGAATTCTCTCTCCAAAGACACTGGAGATAGTGTAATCTACTCCAAATCTGCAAGGAATTTATAGCCCAGTTTAGAACGTAGATTTGGACAGTCGAATGGTGCAAAATTACATCATCTGCAGAAAGAATTAGCTGGATTAACTCAAGGAACAAGTGATATAACTAGCTACTTCACAAAACTTAAACGATATAAGATGAGTTAGATTACTTAATTGCAATATCAAATGCACATGCACTTGTGTCTGTGAAGGAAAGAAAACTCAAAAAAATCACAAGAGAATGAAAGATTCATTCATTTTTTTATGGGGTTGAATAAAGTTTATAGTCAGGCTAGAGAAAACATAATCACGATGAACCCTCAACCCAATATTGACCATGTTTACTCATTGATTCAACAAGATGAAAATTAGAGAGAGGTGTATGCTAACCCTCTTATCTCTATTGAGACTACATCTTTCATGGCAGGGAACCAAGCAAATTTTCAAGGACATGCTACTTTTGCAGGGTAACAAGCTTCCCACAAAGAAATGAGAAACAAAAATTCTCATGACAGTTTCAAAGAACTGTAAGTGGTTTTTAGAAGACTGAAAATCTAGCACAAAAACCATCATTCTCTAAGGCAAAGAAAAAAAAGTTGAATCCAAATGTTTCATGTACCTACTGGGAAAAAAAGGACATAATGTGGCAGACTATTACAAATTAATTGGCTTTCTAGAGGACTTTGAGTTCACAAATCAAAGAATAGGTCAGGAAACCATAAGGAGTAATGGAGCTATATAACATGAACAGGGAGATGATGCCAGCAATTACTCTGATGCTTTGAACCAGCACCTCTCAAAGGATCAGTTTACACAATTAGTTCAATTGATCAAGCAACTCAAGATTGTTGATACAGGAAATCCATGTTCAGATATCAATGCTCATACACTGGCTGGTACTATTATCAAGTATTCTGGAACATGTCTTTCAATTTTTAATACTAGTACACGGATTATGATTCTGGAGCTTCAAAACATATGTGTTTTGACTCAAATGCTTTTGTTTCTTTGTCTCCTCTTCATGTTCCTTTGCAAATAAATCTGCATAATTCCTTTAAGGACACAGTAACACATGTAGGAAAGGTTTTTATTCTGCCAAATTATGTTCTTAAAACTGTCCCTCATGTTCCTACTTTCAGATATAATTTATTATCTGATAATAGGTTCTCTATTCCGTTTCACTACATATTCTCATTCTTTTCTATTCTATGTATATTGCAGGCCTCTTTAATGAATGGGGGGTCAAGTTTTTGATGAAGCAAAAGAGGGACGATATCTTTTGAAGCCTAATGCAGTGAGATTTAGGAATAGCAATGAAGAGAATGTAATTTCATGTCATGATATTTTTAGTCAAAGTTTAGTATCTTTTCCTTTTTCTGCTAATGCAAATTCTGATGTAAATCTTTGGCATATTACATTGGGGTATTTGCCTTTTTCCATCAATGAGACATCTCAGTTTTATTTCTTTTCCTTCAAATTCTGAATGTTTCTGTGATATTTGTCCCAAGGCTAGGTAAACTAGAAATCCATTTCCTTTAAGTCAAATTAAATCAAAGAAAGCATTTTAGTCAATTCATGTAGACATATGGGGACCTTACAAAGTTTTCACATACAATAGTTTCAAATATTTTTTAAATATTATGGATGATTTTAGTATGGGTACTTGGACCTTTCTATTGATCACCAAAAGTAATGCATTTGAAGTTGTAAAGAATTTTCTCACAATGGTTGAAAGACACTTTGATACTAAGGTGAAACAAATGAGGACAAACAATGCTTTTGATCTAGGGAAAGGCACACAAGAATCTGCTTTCCTTTATTCTCAGGGTATACTTCATCAAACATCATATGTTGCTGCTCCTCAATAAAATAGAGTAGTTGAGAGAAAATATAGATATCTCTTAGAGACTACTAGAGCACTACTTTTCACTCAAAGCTTCCTATTACTTATTGGAGAGAATGTGTATTGACTACTACTCATTTAATTAACAGGTTGCCTTCTAAGGTTCTTCAAGGAAGAACACCTTACTATGTCTTGTTCAAACAATCTCCATCTTATGCTACTTTTAAGGTTTTTGGTTGTCTATGCTAAGCTTCTACTCTGTCTAGTGGGAGAAGCAAATTTGATCCAAGAGCAAAATCATGTATTTTTCTAGGCTATCCTTTGGGGCAGAAAGGTTACAAGTTGTTGGAATAGGACACAAGGAAGATTATAGTGTCTAGTGATGTCCACTTATGAGGATAATTTTTCTGTTGCATCCACTCTTATATAGCCTACTTCCATCTTCCCTACTGTTTCTTCACAAGATGCGCTATATACTGATTTTCTATCCCCTGATCATATACTTAATCCTAATATGTCTTTCTCTCCAACTATTGCGACATTGCCTTTCTCTTCAGCTTCTCCTTCCAGCTTACCTGAATCTAGCACCCCTACCCACAACATATCTTTTTTACCTATTTCTACCAGATTTCCCTCTCCACATCATCAAATTCACCTAGGCCCAGAATTACTCCTCAGAACACTACACCTAATTTACCTAGGAGATCTTCTGGAGAGTATAAATGGCCAAGTCATCTCAAAGATTTTATTTGTAACAATATTTTCCTTACTGACCTTGCATCTTGTTTTGCAGATTCTGTTGTGACTAATGCGTGTTCTTTTGAGACTATCATCTTACAATCAACATATGTTACAATTTGTTTCACTAATCTCAGAACCTTCTAGTTTCACTCAAGCCTCAATGCACCCTGGTTGGCAAGAGGCAATGAATTCAGAGATTGAGGCTTTGAAGTCAAATCACACTTGGGATGTAGTGGTGTTACCACCTGGTAAAAAGGTTCTACCTTGTAAATAAGTTTACAAAGTAAAGTACAAATCAGATGGGAGCATTGAAAGACTCAAGACAAGGTTGGTAGTGAAGGGCAACATACAAAAATGGGATAGACTACACTAAAACCTTTTCCCCTGTGGTCAAAATGACCATCATTAGATGTCTTTTGGAAGTGGCTGCCAAGAAGGACTGGCCAAGGATTTACAAGAGGAAGTTATATGAAATTCCCTACTAGATTATCACCTACAAGTCCTAGTCATGTTTGTTTACTCAGAAAGTCCCTCTATGGTTTAAAGCAAGCCTCAAGACAATGGTATGCTAGGGTTGCTGGAGCATTGAGTTTCAAAGGGTATTCTTCTTCTATGAATTATTACTCTTTATTTTTTAAAAGACAGGGTATTTTGACTACAATTATGGCTGTGTACGTGGATGATATTTTAATCAATGGGAGTGATTGAGCAGAAATTACAGCATTAAAGTCTTTCCTAAATTATGAATTTAAAGTGAAAGATTTAAGCAATCTATATTACTTTCTAGACATGAAGATTCCAAGAGCACGACAAGGGATTATTGTGTGTCAAAGAAAGTTTACCTTAGACTTGCGGAATGAATTTGACATTGCAGATTCCTCTTGTGTAGCTTCTCCCCTCGACCCTTCATCCAAGCTTACAGCAGAATCATGGCCTCCTCTCTCAAATCCAACACTCTACTGATATCTTGTGGCAAAGTTAAACTATTTGACTCATATGAGGCCAGATCTATCATTTGTTGTTCTTCAATTAAGCCAATTCATGAAAAGCCCCAAACTTTCTCATCTCACCGCAGCCCTTCGAGTTTTACGATATCTAAAAACAGATCCAGATCAAGGGATCATCCTTAATACAACCCCATCCCTAAAGCTTGTTGCTTTTTGCGATGCCGACTGAGCTTAATGCCCATAAACCAGGCAGTCTGTTAGTGAATTTTATATCGCATTTAGTGGGTCTTCTATTTCCTGGAAGTTAAAGAAACGTGCCTTTTTGTCCTTGTCCTCCGCTGAGGCGAAGTATCATTCAATGCGCAAGGTTGTTGCCGAATTAACATGGCTCACTTGCCTCCTTGACGATCTTTCCGTACCACCTTCGTTGTTGGTTCCCGTTCTCTCTGATAGTCAATCCGCCATTCATATTGCACGAAACCCTATATTTCATGAGTGCACCAAATATGTGGAGCTAGACTGCCATTTGTTAGACAATAATTTCTTACCGGCCTAACTTTCCTCTCTTTTGTGCCATCAAAATTTTAGCTTGCCGATCTATTTACTAAGCCGCTTCAGGGCCTTCTAGTCGTTCGATTCTTAGCAAGTTGGGGATCTCGTCGTTCCCCTCCAACTTGAGGGGGATGTTGGAAACCAATCTCACCATGGATGCTCACAAAGCAGAGAAGAAGAGAAGAAGAAAGGTTTGAAAGTTAAAGAAGAAAGAATGAGTTCGGACAAAACAAACTGGGCTAAGTCATGTGGTCTCAAATCTGAAGGGATAGATGGCAGCATCCTAGAGTTTAAAGCTTGCCATGATATTAAATCTGGACCGTGTAAATAAAAACATAAATCTAGAACCTTCTCACACATGTAAGAAGGTTCATACGCATGAGAGATAGGAAAGGAATATTAGTTGGTTATTTTGTTATAATTAGTATAGTACAAACATGACAAGTGTACAAATACTATATGATTCTTTTATTTTTATTTTTTATTCTAGTTTTCTTTTACTAGGAATATACCTGTATAAATATACATTGCTTGTACAGAAAGAATTCAATCAGAAATATAAAAAAAAATTCCACATTTTCCCTTCTTTCTTTCATATTCACACATTTATGTTTCCTTAATGGCTATGTTTTATTATTTTAATAGGTATAGTTTAGTGACTTTACTATTATAATTGACAAAGTTTAATTAATTTAATGTAAAGAATACTTTTGTTTCACTTTAATATTATAGTGATTAAAAAATAAACTTTTGCAATAATAAAGTTCACGTATCATTTAGGCTAGTTGGAGGGGCATGTATAATAAGATATACTGTCACAAAAAGTAAAGTAAAGGATGCAGTGTGATATTTTGTTGTTTACAATTGAAACTTTTAAATCCGTTATTGGATACGTAAATAGAAAAAGGGTGGTACAGTCAGATCGCTTTGTAACATCCATATATAACAATTATTCACTATAAAAGTCAAATTTTCCTCAGAATCAATTTTTAAAGTTATATTTTACATCTCTATAACAATTTTTTACCTATAACAACAACAACAACCATATTTATAGCAGAACACTCTTTGTAAAATTACCCTTCTATAATAGCCATATAAAATCATTAAGATTACTAATCATAATTTTAAAAATATGCACACAATTTTTTCCATTAAACAAAGTTTTTATCTTGCATAAGATATAAGATTTGAAGATTTGCATATGATATCTTTTCCATTGGATAAATTTCAAAAAATACTTAGATAAAAAATCTGGTTGTTAAGCTCTTACATTATCTTCAAGGAAAAGTTATTGGATACCTTTTTGCTGAAAATTTGGACACAAAAATTCGTCATTTCAAGCGTTATATCACTAATAAGAGAATGAAATCTATGAAAAAAGCTACAATTACAAAGTTCTTTTATCAATCTTGAAAGAATTTATTTTTCTAGGTAACTTTTTAATATTTGCCTTGGAGTTTAAATCTTTATACATTTAATTATGAATTTATTAATAATGTATTAGCTTTCTTCAATATTTAACTAGTGAATATGCATATCTTTTGTGATTCTAACTTTGAATAATTTTTTAATCTTTTTATGTAATATTAAAAAGAGAAAAATAATTGATTTTTGATAATTTTTATCTATAGCAATAAAAAAATATTTAAACGTCAAATATTGTTATAAATGTAAACAGCCATTCACCATAAAAGTAAAAAATAATCGAAATAAATAATACTCTAGGGTTTACTATACAAGTTGTGAAAAAAATGATTTTTAAGAACAGACAAAGGGATATGTATGAGCTGGAAAATGGAAGAGGACCAAGTCATACAATTTGTTATAGAAATTTACAACAATCAACCCAGAATGTGATTGAATAGAAAAATATTAAAAAAACTTATAGTAGTATTAATTTGAGTCAAGTCAAACAAGGTTCGGACAAACAAGGCTGATCAGGAGACAGCTGAAGAAGAAGAAAGAAAAGCTGCAAACAGATCTCAATCTCTCTTTTCTGCTGACCTCCTTTGTATTCTTATGCCTTCTCTGCTTTTGGTGTCTTTTTTCTTAGGATTCTACTTCGATTGAGATACTTTTGGACCTACACAGCACTCATCATTCATTTCTGGACCAAGAGAGAAGAGAGGGAGATGGGAATTTGTTTCAGTAATGCGTCTGATAATCAGAGCCCGTGTACCACTGGCCATTTCAGTTCAGGTACCCTTTCTCTTTTACCCACCTTAATTAGAATCTGATGCCCTTTCTGAGATTTCAAGAATTTGTTTCTATCACTTCTTTCTGGGTATCGGTTTCTATTGATTTCGCTTTTTTGTTTCTTCTCTTATGTCCAAAAACTATTACCTGGTTGATTGAATGTATTTAAATTGCAGCAGGCATGTCACAGACGACCAGCAACACGACATCCTCAACTGTGAGCAACGTGTCCGGGAATAGCCAATTCTCAGGAGCCAGTGGATCAGTCGATGAGGTTTATCCGAATGGGCAAATATTACCCCACTCTAGTTTACGGATGTTTTCTTTTACCGAACTCAAGGCCGCCACCAGAAATTTTAGAAATGATACGGTGCTGGGAGAAGGTGGTTTTGGGAAAGTTTACAAGGGTTGGCTTGATGAGAGAGCTTCTGCCAAGAGTGGTAGCGGCACTGTAATTGCTGTTAAGAAATTGAATTCTGAAAGCTTACAAGGGTTGGAAGAGTGGCAGGTCATTCCTCTCTTCTAAACATGGACCTATTTCTAGTTTATACCAGCAGCTAGCTTGCTTCGTTTAGTGTAGCTGCAATTGCTCTCTTGTTTATCCTCTGCATGAGCATATGGATCAATTTGCAAAGAAGCACTTGCCATTGATTTAGTAACTCATTTTTGGGTAATATTGGTTGGCTAACGTGAGGGGAGCCTTGGCATAACTGTAAAGTTGCTGCCATGCGACCCGGAGGTCACGGGTTCGAGCCGTGGAAACAACCTTTTGCAGAAATGCAGGTTAAGGTTGCGTACAATATACCCTTGTGGTCTGGCCCTTCCCTGGACACCGCGCATAGCGGGAGCTTAGTACACCGGGCTGCCCTTTATTAGTTGGCTAACATCCCATTGAGTTGAACTTCTTTGACTACTTTTGGTGGGAAAGATAGAATTAAGATTAAGATATTATGTATGCTGTTTAATGCGCGTCGTTTGCTCTGAAGCTTAGCAAAAAGATATTACTTGAATGTCTGGCACCTTATTGTCATTCTCCAGAAATAGAACAGTGACCAATATGATTATGCTAACATTGAGTTGGGTGGATGGTCTAGGATCTTTGTTTGCGGTCTTGGTTTTGTAGTGCAGAATTTGTGTTTATATGATTTCATAAAGCACCTTTCCAGTTGCTCATTCAGCAAGCTTAGTGAATCATCACTTTTGGACGCAGGCAACCCTCTACCATCTATCCAATTGCATTCCATTGTCTCGCCTTTTTGCCTTTTTAATTCTTGTATAATCCTGTTTTACTGAAACCTGTGATATTATGTCTTCTACTTTAGTAGATTGGTTAACATCTTTGGGCACATATTTTGCTTTCTCCTGATTAACTCTAGTTGTTCATTGACTAGACTATGAACTATAGGCTTTTATTCTAAATATTTGAAAGTGAAAAATTAATCCAGTGCTCAGAGACAGTGAGTTTTTATTGCTGGTTTCTGCTAAAAAATATTCCAAGGTTCTCTGTGAATCTCATTTCATTTGTTTATGCAGTCTGAGGTGAATTTTCTTGGAAGATTTTCTCATCCTAACCTGGTCAAACTCTTGGGATACTGCTGGGAAGATAAAGAGCTATTGCTTGTGTATGAGTTTATGCAAAAGGGCAGCTTGGAGAACCATCTCTTTGGAAGTAAGAGATGAGCTATATCTTCTCAATAATATATACGATATTCTAGATTAAAGCAGTGAGGAATGTGTCTGCTTCATTCTCCACCTAAACATATTTGTTCTCTTTGGTCTGCTTAGGGGGCTCTGCTGCTCAGCCACTTCCATGGAACGTAAGACTTAAAATTGTGATTGGCGCAGCCCGAGGCTTGGCCTTCCTACATGCATCGGAGAAGCAAGTCATTTACAGAGACTTCAAGGCTTCAAATATATTACTTGATGGCGTATGTTCCCTTTTCTTCTCCCTCAGAATATTGTCGTATAGTGGCTTAACGCATGTAATATAGAGATTCAAAATTGATGCCAGTTGATTATTTCATTCAACAAATATCCTCTTCTTTCTAAGCATCTTTCTGGTTTACACGCTGTTTTGCCCAAAATTTGGAGCTCTTCATCACCAAGTGACAAAACCTGACTAGCTGTGAACATTAGGGAGAAAAGGTTGTTATTGATAAAAATGTTTCATGACATTTTTTAATTCCTTTTGGTTTCAGTCTTACAATGCGAAGATATCCGATTTTGGCTTGGCAAAACTAGGTCCTTCAGCTAGTCAATCACATGTGACTACACGGGTCGTGGGAACGCATGGTTATGCTGCTCCTGAGTATGTTGCAACAGGTAAACTTAGAGTCTGTTGGGCTTCTGTAGTTGGAAATTCAACTTTTCTGGAATCACATCTAGTGCTTACAGGCTTAAAAATATAGGGTCAAATCCAAATAAATATATGTTCATACTTCTATTGTCATTTTTTGACAGGACACTTATACGTAAAGAGCGATGTCTATGGTTTTGGTGTTGTTTTAGTGGAAATGCTAACAGGTCTACGGGCACTAGACACAAACCGCCCAAGCCACCAGCATAATCTGGTTGAATGGATTAAGCCACATTTATCTGACAGAAGGAAGTTGAAGGACAAGATGGATTCACGGCTAGAAGGGAAATATCCATCCAGAGCTGCAGTACAAATAGCACAACTGGCACTGTCATGTCTTGGACCTGAACCTAAAACCAGACCATCAATGAAAGAAGTAGTTGAGAAACTAGAACATATTGAGGCTGCCAATGAAAGACCCAAGGAGCCTAGAGTAAGTTCGAGACATCAGACTGCTTATAGATATGGTCAACAACCTTTGCACCATCGTTCTCCACTTCACCCAAGGCACGATGTAAATCGAGCCTATCCACTCCCAAGAAGAGCATACTGAATATGATACGTTCTATTTATATAACAAAATGAAGAAGTTATGATAACTTAGTTGTCCAAATAGAAACATTTTCTTCTTCTTCTTTTGTCGCCTGGCCTCTTCAAAGCCATTGTATGTTTAGTTGGTCTTTAGTCTGAGCTTGTGAGGTGAAGTGGTAAGGCTCTGTATGGTGTTGGGTTGTAGT